AGGTTCTAGATAAGATAATCGAAGCTATGGGCGCTTGATTACCGCTTCGATAAGCCTGGGTCAGATAATGGTCCTCGGCCTGCTACTACCCTTATTGACCTCAGAGTATACAGATACAACACTTGACATGCTTTCGTAACATCTAAAAGACCCAAAAATGCCATACATAACCCAGAATAATGTCTGTGTGCGGAAAGGTGCTCGGGCGCTCATTATGCGGTTGGCCATCAGCTTTGTGATCCGGACTTGAGTTTTGGGGATTTGACCTGAGCCTGCTCGGCAACCGTACTCGGTAAGCACAACTTCATAAATGCCATTGTGGGATTAACCGAATTGTAACGCGATCACAAGATCATAGTCTCGTCCCCAGCCATTCTAGCGCGCCCGGACTTCGCCGGTCGGAGACTGCGTCGGACATCAATGGTGATGTGCAGTCTCTGGTGATGAGTAAGGCGTTCGTGTATGCAGTCAGACATATATGTAAAAGTGCCTCTGATATATTCTTGAGTACATTTGTGTTTTTATAAGCCCCCTGCAACGGAGAGTACCACTGCAGCCCAAATAGCCGCCAACGGCAGGCTACGGGCGCGGTATGTGTGCGCGTCAGTCACGTGCGGACGAGACCCCCCCGGATGATCCAAGTGGACCAGACGCTCTAACGAGCCAGTGCACTTTGCTTTCAAAGTCCGATGCACTGGCCGACAGTGTTTACACGTCGGAGTTAAGAGCGGATGGAAACGAGACTAACAAGATCAGCGCGCGCGCCGTCTCGCCCACCGCGTTTCACTCAGCGCCACTGCCTGTCGCTTGTCTTGGCCTGTCCTACTTGCACAGATGTGCAGGAAGATAGAGTGGTCGTTTTCAGGCGACTTCTTAGCACACCAAGATGGCTCCGCAATACAGCAGCTGGCCGGCAACCTTTGACAAATCCAGATAAGGAACTGCAGCCACCGCCGCAAGCTCAAGCTCAAGACTTGACAGCAACGTCATGTCCTATCGGAGATTTGATTAATTCGCCATAGTAGGTCTAAGACCTTTGTATATCACTATTCTAACGTGCCTTTACTGCGCCATACGCTGTTTGATGATGACAGCGGGCCTCGACCTGAGCGGACACCTGCGCTAAGACCGATGCCCGGGCCAGCAGAACGTGAGGACAATGCACCTACCAGTGATGCCGCAGAACCATCAAACGGCCCACCGCGCTCTACTGGGGCTGCCGTACAGCCTAGGGCGGTGTACTCGTCCTCGCGAGCGGCGACCGTCTCGAACATGCAGCCCTTATCCTTGCAACGAATTCCAAGCGTCATCAACTATGGAGAATCGAATGCCCGGGGGGGGGGGACGTGGGAGTATCAGAATCTGGCGCGAGAAGACCACTCAGGCGAAGAATGAAGTCGCTGCGAGCGGTGGCGCAGTCGGTATTGGCAAGCTACAATGTCCCCTATCCGAGATCCAGCGCTGACAGCGTATCCAGAACTTGCCGGCGAGATTCTCGACGCGAGCACGGCGCGATGCCCAGACTCTACGGCGCAACTGATAACTCTTTGCTTGTATAGAACACTAAAGTCACCATTATTCATAGCGGAACGCGACTGCTGAACGATGTCTACCCGGACAAGTTCCGGAAGAGCTTAGAGCAAGAGGTTCTTGCCAGGGAATTACCCTCATGGACTGAGACTATACCGACGTCTTCTCCGATCCGCCCTTCACCATCGATATCGTCACGCGCAAGGGCAAGGCGAGGAGGGTGTCCACCTTGTGTTACGCACCTTGTCCCCTCAAGGCCTCTGGTTCGCGCATTGATATCCTCACAGATCCAGGCCTTCGGCTCGCATCCAAACCCAAATGTCATCAGCACGCCCAGTGCGGGCGTCCTCACCAAGGCCGGCCATGTCGAGGTCAAGCCGACGCTGCAGGACCACCCGGGAGAGTTTGTCGCAGGCAACATCGTCGAGTGGCACGAGCAGAAGAGACTATCAAAGGCGGTAACCACATGTCAATTAACGTGCAGACCTCATCAGCAGCCCATAGGGTCTACAAGGGTGCAACGTTCCAGCGGAGATGGTTCTCGTCTTCCTCGGAGGGGTGGGTTTAGACCTGACCTCGTGCGCGAACACTGCTAAAAGGTCTATATAGTCGCATGGCGCTGGATACATTGATATGTTATTGGGCATTATTTTGGGCAACCAGCTCGCCAGCATGCTCAACGGGAAGAATCTTGTCATAAGCATGTCAAGGAAAGATACCAGATACCAGACATCTGTATCCCGTTCGCGTCTGTTCTGCTTCCTCCGTACTTGTTCGCATCGTTCTGGACCTGTTTTACTCGCTTATGTTCCGTATTTCTTCCCAAAATTGCTCTTAATGTGCAGTCTATAATCGATAACACTCACCATTGATGTGACTCTTCCCGCTTTCGCAGTCTACGCAAGAGCGGAAAACCTCGTATACCGGATCATTTGTGATTTGACATGTTACATGTGAACAATGCTACAATTGGGTCGTGATATGGTGTGTGCATTCTGCCAGTATGCGTAGACGAGCATGATTAGAAGAAGGTACTTCCTTCTGGTGGCTGAGGCAGCTTGCGATTGTTGAAGGCTCCCATCTCCCTGCATAAGCACACGTAAGCGTCGTCATAGTCGTGTGGGAGGTAGCATACGTACCTCCGGATCTCTACAAGCACGGTCTCGATACTGTTATTCCTGTTCCAATTCGCGAGGCACGGCAGCTTCGAGGGGTCCACTTTGCCATCGACCTGGTTGACGAATGGCAAATTCACTCGCGAAACGAACTGCACTATTGGCGGTCGTTCAGGATAGTCATCGCCACAGGTAATCTTGAGGCTGTATATACGATTCTCGTGCACGGTCTGTCCCGGCCACGGAGTCAGCGCGGCATGCAGGGGGATGGGGGCGATCGCGCACGCGCGCGCCCCCGCACTAGAGCACGCACATGTCCGGGACCTATGATCGTGCCGTTCCAGTGGCTCATCATGATATCGTCCGAGTCCTCGAGGCCGTAGGAGCACGAGCCGTCACCGATGCCCTTCTCGCCCTTCTCGAGCTCCTCGAGCAGACGGAAGTTGCGAGGGACTGTCCAGGACGGTCAGCGTTGCGCCCTGTGCGCGAGGGTGACGTGCGCACCTTTGGCCATTGTTGGTATGGGTGCGATGTGAGTGAGAGGCACCGAGACGAGAGGAGCAGCAGGGAAAGTCACGGTCACAACCCTAGCGAGAGCTCTCGAGTTAGGGGTAACTAACCCTAGACGTCGTCACTTCCACAAAATAGGAAGTGCCCTAGAGACGGCAACATTGCGCCAAAATTTCCCGTTTTGGGAGGTTATTCCCTTCACATCTGATGGACTTTGTGACATATCACGCCCTATTACCACATCGCCCTATCTCATCCCGCCGCAGTTCTCACTTTTACATTCGTCTTCCATTTGTTTCACGATGTTTAAAGCTGGCCAGACAAACCCATACGACGAGATTATTGGTACGTTAATTCGAGTGTCTCTGGATCCTCGCTCGGGATTTACGTCGGCGCGACAGCGAAGACTACCGATGAGAACCTCACGGGCGAGAACTGGGAGCTGATCCTGAACTTGTGCGACAAGGTACAGGAAGAAGGGGAACAAGGGTCAGTTCAGTTGTACTTCACCTGAGTTTGTGCTAAGGAGAGAGCACATATAGGGCACGAAATGTCATTGCGTCCATCTTGAAGCGTCTGACGCACAGAACGTCCAATGTCCAGCTGTACACACTCACCCTGGCCGAGTCGCTAACAAAGAACTGCGGGATTGAGGTGCACAGAGAGATAGCATCCCGTGCTTTCACCCAAGGCTTGGAGAGACTGATCACGGACCGGGTATGCTTCACATTGCGTCCCCCGCTTTCGATGGCTTCTTGACAAATGCTACAGAATACCCATGAGAAAGTACGGCGCAGGGCGCTGGGCCTGATCGCGGAATGGACCGCAGACTTTGAGAAGGACCAGTCGTTAGGGGTCATGGAAGAGTGTTACGCGAATCTCAGGGCGAAGGGTGCGCCGTCTCCGCGTCGTCGCTCAAATAGGGACAGCTGATGCATCGCGCGCAGGCTACAAGTTCGATACTCCGAACGAGCCCCCGCCGCCCGAAGTTGATGACGACATCCGCCGCAGAGAGGAAGAAGAGCTCCAACGCGTCCTCGAGATGTCCATGCATGACAAAGGCGGCCGTGGCCAGTGGAACGAGTACTCGCTCACGTCCTCGAGCGGCGCGGGCGCGTCTGTTGCTGCTGCTGCTGCGTCGGGCTCGCGTGCGACTGCGACGCCTACGCCCGTCACAAGCTCCTCAGCCGCAGCACGCCCGACATACGGCGGCTATGTTCCGTCCGCAAGCCCTGCATTGTCAGGCGGGCCACCTGCAATTCCGACGCCCACACGGTCGTACAGTACCGCCAGCGTGGCCAGCGCGACAAGCGCAGTGACCGCAAGCCCTGCACCGTCGATCCACTCGCAGGACAGCGGGACCCAGATCGTGACGCGCGTGCGCGCGCTACATACATTCGAGCCCACGGAGGCGGGTGAGCTCGCGTTCGAGAAGGGGGACATCATCAAGGTTGTCGACCGTGGCTACAAAGATTGGTGGCGAGGGCAACTGAAGGGCCGCACGGGTATCTTCCCCGTTAACTACGTGGTATGTGTGCATTACGGTTGTCGTCTTGCTGCAGGTGCTGATATCACCACAGGAACGATTACCCGAACCTACAATGACTGAGATCGCCAGAGAAGCTGAACAGGAGGCGGCGGTGTTCACGCAGGCAGCGAATGTGGACCGCTTACTCACTATGCTTCGACAGATGGACCCTGCGAAGGATAACCTCGCAGATAATGAGGAGATTCAGGTTCGTTAGAATCGTCGAATCCGGCGCATATATCCTAACTCGTTTTCAGGAGCTATATCGGTCGTGTATGAGCCTGCGGCCTAAGATCGTCAAGCTAATCGACAAGTACAGCCAGAAACGAGGTCAAGCCCATCTACTTACATCATTGCAGAGCAGATGCTGACTAGTTAATTCCAGCTGACCTCGTGACGATGAATGAAACATTTGTAAAGGCTCGATCCATTTTCGACCGCATGATGGAAGAGAGCTTGGCACGACACACATCAGTCGGTGAGTATACTGCATGCATCTACTGTATCTCTCGTTTTCATCAATGACTTCCAGGATACGATCCTCGAGGTGGATATGGTCAGCCACCCTACCCTCGGCCTGACTCTCAGGCACAATCATTTGGGTGGAACCCGTCCATATACGAGCAGCCTGGGTACGGCGCGTACCCTCCGCCCGCAGGTGCCTACCCCCCGCCTGGACCTGAACCCGGCTACCCTGGCGCGCCACCGCCTTCACAGCCCTATGTTGATCCTGCAGCTTACCAGCAGTCGGGACCAGGTGCTTATCCGCCGCAACCTTACGGTGCGCCTGTCACGCCGTCGCCTTATGGTGCACCCGGCCCGGCGCCTCAGGTCCAGCCGTATGGGTCTGGCCCCGCACCTCAACAGGTGCCGCATCATGGTCAGCCTGTATCTCCAAGTTTGGATCCTGCACAACCACCTCCGCAGCAGCCACCAATGCAGCAGCAGCCTCCTGGTCAGCAGCCTCCAGCTCAGCAGCCTCCCGCCTATATGCAGGCACCCATGCAGCAGCCACCACAGCAGCCACCTGTATCTGCCAATCAGCCCGCTGCTGCGATGCACCAGCCACAAGATCAGGGCCAGGGTCAAACCCATCCTCAGCAGCAGCAACAAGACTCTCAGCCTCCCGCGGGTCCACCATTCGTGTACGATCCAAACATCGCATACCCCGACCCCAACGTACAGGCATGGGCACAGTATTACGCGCAAGGCGGAACGGATCCTACTGGCGCAGTGTACTTTATCTCTGTTCCCGGTGTCAAAGAGGCTTCGCCACCAGCTACAGCACCCGCCCCGGAACATCCCGCCAGCCAGTCGCCCGCCCTTTCGTCAACCGCACCGCTGAATATCCACCACGTGAGTGCCCAGCCCGCAGGTGCAACATCTGCCGCAGCCCCTAGCTCGCCGGGCGCGCAGCACCAGGTGCAGCAGGCGTTCTATCAGGCAAACCCTGGCTCGCCGAATGCGTCGAGCGGCAGCCTCTCGTCTGCTCCGGGAGGCCAGCCCGTAGGCGCGTACGGCGTGTCACCGTACCCTGCGCCAGGTGCGTATGCGTCGCCCGGTTCGACGAGTCCCGCTGGTGACAAGCCCGCGTGGGCGGGCTCGTATGGGAGTCTTCCAGGCCAGTTCGCAGGCTTAAACGTCAACGGGGAGGGCCCGCCCCCCAGCAATCATCCTGGTACCACACCGGGCGTCGGCGCTCCTGCATGAGCCCTGCGTCTTGCCTGAAGACTCGACGAGTACGAAGGGAGGATGTAGACGATCGAGCGGGAGTTGGTCATCGAGGTACTCGTCGAGTGGTGCATGGACGACCGGAGTGATGCACGTATATTCGGACGTGTCGGTCTTGAATATATCTTTCGATTTTAACGTTTAGGAGGTTCTGACGACTGTATCAAAGTTTTTTGAACGCAATCCCTCTTGGGTGTGTCTGCTGACTCTAGATTATTTGCCCCCTGAACCGCACACCTATGGCGAGTAGCGCCAGTCTGACCGGCTGCATCGTGATAGGCGCGAGTCCGACTTCTTCTGGCAGAGAAGGAAATATCCCTGAATTTAAAGATGGGTCGCGCAGAGGAATGGCACGAGAGATGTACATTGGTCTACGCGAAGAACAAAGCTGTGAAATATGTATGCGATACAAGTCCGAGTGATGATACTACGTTGGCCAATACGATGAATAAGCGGGTCAAGCAGGACTCAGGCAGGACCGTCCTCCAACGTGGTAGACGCACTCGCCGTCTCCATCTCCGCCCTCCTCTTCTTCCGGATCCTATTGCTGCTCCTCCCAGAAGTCGTCTTGTCCTGCGGCGCGGTCCTCTTTCTGCCAACCTGTCCTTTCGGCCTCGTCGGCTCGTAGTGCACGAGGTTTGCGAACCGGTCTGGGACCTTCGGAGCAGGCGGAGAACCCTTGACGCGATGAGCAAGTGCCAGCATAGGCGCATGTGTTGTGAAGTCCTGGATAGGAGTCTTCGAGGGGGCTGCTGTCGCAGCTGCGGCAGAGCTTACACGAGAGCCAGGGCCAGCGATACCTTCTTCCCTTCGGCATTCCTCCACGTCTGCAGTAATCAAGGCCTGCACGGCAGATCTCAGCTCGGGATCAGAGTAATTGGCAACTATCTCGACACCGTGAGAAGCTTCGGCTGGTCGCGGAGTGGCCTTCAGGCCTCCCCACTTCTGTCTGCATTGCCTGACGTCGATACGTGAATAATGATTCCTGCCTATCGCGTAAAGACCATTGAGCAGGAGCGAAATATTGGAGCCTTCGTCCAGCAGAGTGATAGGTGGAGTAGCAGACTTCATGTGACGGATCTTCTCGCGACCTCCGACATAGTGGCCGTTCCCGAGATGATGTGCGGCATTGAACTTGTGGGAATAGTACAACGCAAGATACGTATCATTGTCTTCTTGACCCGCGGCAACAAGCCAGCAGCCTTCGGGTCGTTATCAGTGGACGCGGTGTCATGTTGGTGAAAACGTAGACAGGCAATCTTCGTGACATACACGAAGGACTCCAGATCGTCCTCGAGTTCGTTTGGTTTCAGGGGGCATTCAAGCAGAGTTCCCGACATGTATGTCCAAGTCCCCTATTATCAAGCGGTTAAACAAAAGTGCACAGGGAGGTACTGATGGCCCAAGAACGCACCGTCCGAGCATGCTGACTCGCGCCGAGATGTGGCTCGTCCGCGTACTTGCATGATTCCCAATCGTTCAAGAATCCGCCGCCTGTGTCGATGTCGATCATGATGTTGCTCATGCTCACGTCTCTATGCAATATGCCGGCTCTCGTGTAGACCCCCCAGTGCGCTAAGCAAGGGTTAGTACATAGAACGGTACCTAACACTCCGACGGACCGTAGACAGCGTTATGGAAGACTCGGATGAACATTTTACTGTCGTCGTATGTCTCCAGAGGACGTCCAACTTGCAGGATGATGACTCTGTGGTGGATCCGCTTTACCGGCCGCGATGGGCTATCTTCTATGTGCCGCTTGGACATGGCAACGTGGACAGCGACGTACCTCCTGCTATCGCAGTGGCAACCTTAGTAACTCCAGCCCCTCGGAGCCTCTTGTATACCTCCACTTCCGGATGGACCGTTGGGTGGTCCGCGCGCCAGTACTCCTTGATGAAGACGAGACGTCTGCGGTCGACGTCATAGGCAATATAGCCTTTGCCGCCTCTTCCAGTAAGCTTGTGAGATCCAGAGCAGTGTCTGCCTATGAGATAGGTATACGTTCTTACAGAGGACGTAATGTCCGCGGGTATATGTTCCGGAGCCAGTCCTTCGATATCAGGATATGTCACCTGGAGATGAGTGCGTGAGATGCGACGCGGAAATGGCGCTTGTGGTAGGTAATTTGTGACTCTGAGTGGGAACGCACCTTGTGGATTGGGTAGAGGTCGGCACCATCCAACACTTGGCTAGCGTACGTGTGATGCCAGCTACCCTCGACGAGCGTCTTGCGGTAGGCATCGAACACGTCAATCTCAGCTTGAGATGCCAGGCTGACACTGGTGTCGTACCCGATACACCTGGGATCGTCGTCACGAACCGCCGCGGCCAGGCGGAACAAGAATTTGATAAGGTGTCGTGGCTCCTTGTTGTAGTCAAATGCCCTTGCCACTGCGGCTCCAGCGCAGTCCCAGCGGATGAGCCAGATGAGGTCTTGTACGACGAACATGGTGAGGGCGTAGACGCGATGCTGGTGGAGGAGTAGTTTTGCCCCATATTCGACCATCAGTGCGCGTGACTCCTCTCCATCTTCGCTTTCGTTTAGTGCGAGCTTCTCGGAGGTAGGAACGAACGGAGATTTCGTTCGGTCCTTCATAACCTCGACGAGCAAGATGGTCCGGGCCCACATAGAGCGTCTAGGGTGGCTGCGAGCGGTCTGTGATTGCAATCCCTCGCGCTCCCCACCGGCGAATTTATGCGCTTTCTCGACAGCCAGAACAATCGAGACATCGTCCTCACAATCGTCTTCCCCTTCACTGACCTCCGAATAGTCCCCAGTAACGAACGCAGTGAGGTTACCACCGATGGAGGCAAAAATGCCGTTGATGTGTTCGCTCTAAGGTGGGGCAAAATTAACGTTCGCTCAGATAGGAGCTGAAAACCTTGTGCCACATACAAAGAGACTATCGACGTCTTGCTCGGCTCTGGCCATTGGCATGTTATCAAAATCGACTGAAAAAAGCTCTTCTGGAGGATCCGGTCCAGGAGCGTTCTCCTCTATCCACCGCTCGACATTAGGAACCTCCGCCCATTTCCATCAGGAACAAATAACCATTCTACCCGATGCTACCTGAGCTTGGTAGTGCTCCGAAGCATCGGGTAGCATTGGTAGAATGGTCAGTGTTTCCTGATGTCGTGGTCATCTCGTCGACAAGATCCCCGTACGGACCCTCAGGCTCACGCTTCGGGTCTTTTCCCGCGGCTCCTCTAGGGTGAAGAGCTCGGAGCTCCTGGTGGTGTGTATAAATTTTTTGCCTCTACATTGGCAGTAATGATTGGCGCAGAAGAAGTAGATGGTGGGGGAGGTAGTGAAGCGGGGCTATTACGTGAGGATGACTTGGGAAGAGGGCTAGTATGAAGATCCGAGGCTTACTCTTCGATTCAGAGCGAACCGTTTATGAAACAATCTGTCTTCGTATAAAGCAACTATCCTCCAAGATAGCAGCCAAAAATGTCAAGATGGCGAGGACGGGAGAGAGAGACACAGGCGCTTCGA